GCGCCTGCACCGCGCTCAGCCAGTGAGCGGGAACCGGTCTCCACATGGGATCCGAACCCTCAGCGGGAGCGCCGCCGCGCTCCCAAGCGGCGCACTCTCCAGTGCGCCACCGGGCCGGCCCTGTTCCCTGTGTTTTTAGGCACTGTTATGGCCTGGGAAGGAAAACTGACATTCTGTACTGTATAGTTCCTTCTCCTTACTGAATCATGCAATCCAAAATCTTGTTTTTAGTGGTTGCTTCATCTCATCCCCTCACTATATCTTATTCTGTCCAGGTGGCTTGGTTTTGTTTTCAGGGTCTTCCTCCTGATGGTCCATAGTGTGTTGGCTTCTAGGGCCTCAGGTGTGATCTAGGTCCCAAAAGCCTGGTCTTAGGTATAAGTGCCCATTTAGGTATATTATTAGGTATAGGTGACCATTTGTTTAGCATATGATTTTGCCTTGTGCCTTTTCCTTTTCTTTGTGGCCAAGAGAATTTTTATTTATTTATTTATTTATTTATTTTTGTCCTTTTTGAGACCGGCCGCACCGCGCTCAGCCAGTGAGCACTGTGAGCACACTGGTCATCCCTATATAGGATCCGAACCCATGGTGGCGGGAGCACTTCTGTGCTCCCAGCGCCGCACTCTCCCGAGTGCGCCATGGGCTCAGCCCATGAGAATTTTTATTTTTATTTATTTATTTATTTTTAACCCCCTTTTGGTCTAGTTAGTAGTACCAGAGAGGAATCTTCCAACCTCCTACTTGGGCTACCAGTATTTCTGGAACTAAGAAGAGAAAGCGTGCTGTAAGTCTCAACATTGAATATACAAGGATACTTCAAAAAGTTCATGGAATAATGTAAATAAAAGATAATATGAATCTTTCCATGAACTTTTTGAAGTTCCCTCGTATAGTGTGATCCAAGAACAAGGTGTGTTTTTATTTATTTTTTTTATTTTTTATTTTTTCCTTTTTGTCTTTTTTCGTGACCGGCAACGGATCGCAACCCTCAGTGTCGCGCCCGTACCGGACCGGGACCGGGATCGCAACCCTTGGTGTTGTACCCGCACCTCGCTCAGCCAGTGAGCGGCCGGTCTGTATGTGGGATCCNCCGAACCCTCGGCGGGAGCGCCGCCGCGCTCCCAAGCGGTGCACTGTAGCAGTGCGCCACCGGGCCGGCCCAAGGTGTGTTTTTAAACATAAATTAACCTCGTATACAATTGGTAGGTAGAGGAAAGATATTAATGTGATGGAACATCTTATTAGTTCATATGGGATTTTTCCACCTTACGTTTATGTTTTACAGTGATCCAGGAAAGCTTTCTTGGGATTAAAGAGACAACCCTTGGCTGGCTGGTTAGCTCAGTTGGTTAGAATGTGGTGGTGTAACACCGGGGTCAAGGATTTGGATCCCTGTACTGGCTAGCCACCAAAAAAATAAAAAAAGATCCTAGTAGGATATGAAGGAACAGTAGGAAAAAATAGCTGACAATCCACAGAAATGCCTTCTTGTATGTATAATGATTTGTTTAGTGGCTTCAAGGACCTTATATTTTCTACATTGTAAAATTATGTAGAGAACCTGAAGAATGTGAAAGGCATTAAAATGATGTATTAATGAGAATGGTTATATTCAGTTTTTAAGTTTTTGGGAAAAGGTCTTTTTTTTTTTTCTCCTTTTTGTCTCTTTTTTACTGACTGGCAACGGGATCGCAACCCTTGGTGTTGCGCCCGCACCGCGCTCAGCCAGTGAGCAGGAACTGGTCTCCACATGGGATCCGAGCGCTCGGCGGGAGCGCCGCCCCGCTCCCAAGCAGCGCACTTTCCAGTGCGCCACCGGGCCGGCCCGGGAAAAGGTCTTTTTTTTTTTTCTCCTTTTTGTCTCTTTTTTACTGACTGGCAACGGGATCGCAACCCTTGGTGTTGCGCCCGCACCGCGCTCAGCCAGTGAGCAGGAACTGGTCTCCACATGGGATCCGAACGCTCGGCGGGAGTGCCGCCGCGCTCCCAAGCAGCGCACTTTCCAGTGCACCACCGGGCCGGCCCGGGAAAAGGTCTTTTAATTAGAACTGAATGTTCTTAGGAACCTTCATATCAAAAGAGAAAGCATGAATGTCATGGTTTAAGACTGCCGAGTTGATTGACACTGTTTAGGTGCAAGTTCTAGTAGAGATACAACTGCTAGTATTTTTTTAAATTTTAAATCAGGTTAGTTATTGATTTTGTCAGTGCTTTGAGTATAAAGTGTCATAGATTTTGAGTAGTCTGCTTCTAACCTCGTTTTGCTGGGAGCATCATTTTTCATTAATGCAAGATTTTGCATACCATGAAGTTTCTCAAGAATGCTTATATGGCATATTGTAGGAAATACCTATACAGAGATATTTACATGTTTTCAGTGTGATACTCTTGGCATTCAACTGCATGGTTTTCTGAAGACTACATCTTTGTGGTTTATCATCTCCAGAGAGAAAACTTAAGTCTTTTGGAAATCATGCATGGGGAGGTGAGGAGAATGGAAGGGGTGTCTAACACTTCTTAATAAGACTTTCTTTTTTAGCACCACCTATATAGCTGCTTTCAGAGGCACTCAGTGCTTTCAGTTCCTGAGATTTTTCTGTTGCCTACTATCAGGCTGGTTTTTCAGCTTAACGTAGTTTCTAAGTCAGGTATAATTTTCTCTCCAAATTTACTTGTTTTTGCCTTTATGGGTTCATGTCTTATTTTTTTCTCTACTTTTAGTGAGGGTATGGGAGGAAGTGGGGGCAAAAGGGTATGTTGAGGCTGGCATACTTAACTGGAAGTATTTAAAAATAAAATAGGTCAGACCTATAGGGAAAACCCTAAAAGTAAGATACATACGTACCTGCCAGATTAAATAGATGTTAACATTTTATATTGGCTTTTTAAAAAGAAGTAAAAGTTGACTGACACAACTAAAGGCACATCTCTCTATTCTCTTTGTCCTTTTCTCCTCGATGTAACCTCTCTTTTGACATTGGTGTGTATCATTATAGTGTAAGTATTTATACTGTAATTGTATATGAGTTCATAACAACACATAGTGGTTTTGTGTGTGTTCGTGTTAAAAGTTAAATGATATCATACTGTTTGTATTCTTTGGCAACTTGCCTTTTTTATTCATCATTTTGAATTTGGGTATTGGACATTTTGATACATATAGATTTGGTTTATTAATCCATTAATCTTCTAATGGACAGTACTTTTCATTTCACTCATCTCAGTCTGCATTCTTTCCCTATTACGCTATTAAAAATAGTCTTGTCTTATTTTTTTAAAAGAGTCTCTTCCCGCCAGTTAAATTTTTAACTTATATTGTATTCTTGCAGACGTCCCAGGAGTTAGGGATACAAATGGTTTGATTTAAACTTTTCTTTAATTTTAGTCACCGAATAGGTATGGTATGAATTTTGTTCATAAGAAATAACTTTTAGATAAAGAGACCTATTTCTTTTGTGTTTTGTTTTAATTTTTATTAAGTAATATTTCCGAATTGTTTAAAAAGTCAAATAGTTTTATAGGGCTTTGTAACAAAAAACAGCAGTCTCTTATAGCATCCCCATTTTTAATCATTTTGTGTTTTATCTGACTTTTCCCCAGGAGCTTTTACCTGCCTGTGTCTAAATAAGATTATATTGCTATTTCTTGATATATATTTTCAGCTGTTGACTTCTTCCTATGGAAGGTCTGTCAGTCTTCTGGTCTGTTGACTTCCTCCTGTAGAAGAGGATTAGCTCTTTAACCCTTACCAAGGACTTAAAAATTTTTTTTTGAATCAGTGTTGTGTATTTATGATAAGACAATGTAAATATTGTTCACTGCTGAGCCAAGTAGTATATTGTACTTACAGTACATTCCGTGAGTTGTACAGTTTTTTTTCATTCCTGTGATTAGAAGTTGCCAAGGTGGTGAGTGTGTGTGTGTGTAAATTTCCATCTGTATTTAATTCATCTGCAAACTTGATGTTTAAAACTCTTTACAATAAAAGGTAAAAATCATTTCATTTAAATAAAATGTAAACTATATATTCAGTCCCCCCACCTCAGAACCATCTTACTTAGAGGGCTTTATTTTTTTGCTCCTCTCTGAACTTGTGTTCTCAGGATCTGTGCACAGTGATAATCCTGGCTTCTCTCTTCATATCATCCTGTGGCTTCTCTTTAAACATGAACTTCTTTGCCTAGAATGATGTAATCTCTCTCTTTTTCAATGTGTGACTTCTTAAACTTTCAGTCTTTGCTTAAAAATCACTTCCTCAGAAAGCCTTCCTAATTCCACATTCTAAGGTGTGTTATCCTGTATTATATGCTGCACAACACTCTACTTGGTTTCTTCTTGGTACTTATCACAATATGTGTGCACATTTATATCTATTCATTTATCTCTTTTTGTTCTTCCTCTTCACCACTAGACGAAGTTCCATGAGGTGGGGACTATTGCCCTTTCATTCACCATTATATATCTAGTACCTAGCACATGTAGTGCTCAACAAATACAATGATGTATGCAGAAATAATGACTTCTAGACACAGCGAAGATTTAAATGCCATGGGTTGTGTTATCTTGTTCACCTTTGTCTACCGTGGAGTTGGCAACTGTGGCCTATGGGCCAGATTTGGTCAGCTGCTTGTTTTTGTAACGTGGTCAGGTTCATTTGTTTACATATTGTCTGGCTGCTTTCATGATACAACAGCAGAGTTGCATGGTTGTAACAGAAACAGTATGGCCTGGAAAGCCTAAAATTTTTATTTTCTGGCCTTTTGCAGAAAAATTTGATGACCCCTGATCTTGTATAATCAAACATTTTTCATGAGAAGACTTATTTGGATCAGTAGCCAAATTGTGTTTTTCTTTATATAGTTTCTCTTGTTTTAACTTGAAATTCCTGACAGAGTGGTACATAGTGTATGTGAAATGCCATACAATAAGGGTCTAGTCAGGAAAAGTGAAGAGGGAATTTAATAAAGAGAAATAATTACACAGATGTTAGATGTTTAATGAGCAAAGAGAGAACCTGGAGGAAACCCAGAGGTGGTGATGGTGATTATAACTACAGGAAGCAGCCAGTCTTCCCTAAGGCTGGAAAAACACAGGAAGGAGAGTTGTCAGAATCTAATAACTTAAATGAGAGCCCTGTGAAGGAAGCTAGGACTTCAAGGAAGGGATGCTGCCTGGCTACTGCTGGTACCTTTTGAGAGGGGTACCATGAGACTGGTTCTTGGAATGCTAAGAGAAATTGGAGGCTGGAATGAATGCTGCTGGTGGGTAATGCTGTCACATACAGCAAGCTAACAAGTCCTTGGTCTCTCCTGCTTTCTAGTCATCTTCTAGGCCTGTAGGCACTGTAGGGAGATTTTAACAGGAATCCAGCTGGAAATGAAAAATGTAGCTTGTGGGATCCCAGCCCCAGCATCACAAAACAGAAGGGTGGACTTGGAGTTGAGAGATAATACCAGAATAATGGCAAAGTGTCCCTGTCTACCCCATTACGTCTGTCAAAAATCTGTTCTTAAGCTCAAATTAGTCATTAAATAAAATAAGACTTATTTTCTTTGATGAAATCAAAAGAATACAGAAATGTTTGCATTTGTAAATCTAGCTTTTATTTTGAACTATTGGTTTTAATGTTGGTTTATTATTCATCATTTTTAAAACTCTTTTTTCTACTTTATTTTAGTATCAGATGTAGAAGGTGGTGATGGACTGCAGCTCAGAAAGGAACATACTCTCAAAATATTTGCTTATATCAATTCCTGGACGCAGAGGTATGCATGTTTAGGTATTTTCAAGACTAACCTTATGATTCGTATTTTAAATTGCCATTGTTTGTCATCAAAATTTTCCTTTTAGGGTGTTGAATACCTTTAGTCATTAAATGACAGTTTATCAGTGTTCTTACCTTTTCCCTATTCATGGGGTTGAACATGGTCCTATTTTTAAAACATGAGCATAAAAATTGATTTCTTTCTTTACCCCTCCATTATTTAGGTATGTGGGAGTGACTGAAATTCTGAAACATAATTATTTTGGAGAGATTAAATAATTTTTATGGCATGGCCACAGTCTTAACAAATTTAATTCTTTAAAAAAATAATCTGTGCAGGACATTTGAAGCCACTTGCTGTTTGTTCCTTTTTTTATAATAGTTATGTATATTAGACTGGTTTCTAAATAATACATATATTGAGAATATAGCAAATAAAAAAAAACTTCAGGGAACACAATAATTAATACAATCAAAGTTTGTAATAAAGATTTGCAAATTTCTGTTCCTCAGGGTGGTTTTAGCTGGTCATGGCTGATAATTCTAACTTGTGTTCCTATTCACTTTAAACTTTCTAGTCCTAAAGTTTTTGTGGGTAAGAATGTTTGAAGCATTGTGCACAGTGATCAATAAACATGTTAAATGCAGTGACATATAGATGAGTGCCCTGAGATACACAGTCTAGCTGATTGATCGTAAAGAGTTTAGCAGAATAGTTTAATTTTAAATATCATTTGCTCTATAATAGTGTCCATTTTTCTTCTATTTTTGTTGATCGTAAATAGTTTAGCAGAATAGTTTAATTTTATTTTTTTTATTTTTTTTATTTTATTTTATTTTTTTTTAAAGATGACCGGTAAGGGGATCTTAACCCTCGACTTGGTGTTGTCAGCACCACGCTCACCCAGTGAGCGAACCAGCCATCCCTATATGGGATCCGAACCCGTGGCCTTGGTGTTATCAGCACCGCACTCTACCGAGTGAGCCACAGGCCGGCCCAGAATAGTTTAATTTTAAATATCATTTGCTCTATAATAGTGTCCATTTTTCTTCTATTTTTTTTCTTTCTCTGTGTCAATAAAATTGGTAGATATATTAGGTCCAAAAGAGTTTGTAGGTTTTAAATGCTTAAAATTTGTGTGCCATTATTATTGTCATCTTTTTTTTTTGGCAGCTGGCTGGCACGGTGGCGTCTCTTTTGTGTGTGTTACCAGCTGAATTTCTTTCAACTAAGTTTAGCAGTGGTTGCTATTCCTTTCATTATGGGTGGAATAGATAAATGAATATTTCATAATACTAATATGTTAATAATTTAAAATTAACAATAATCTAAGTGATTTGCTGAGAAATATTGCATCTGAGGATTTTGAATTTATTTGTTGTAACTACAGCTAGGTGACTACATGTTATACTAGGAAAAAACCACACTTCTAATTTCAGGATCTAGGGGTGTGCCACTGAGTAAAATGAAATCCAGAGAAATAAAATGATTTTTCTAAAGTTTTACCACTAGTTATTGGTGGAGATGGAATGGGAGTTATATTTTTCTATTCTTAGTCCACATTTATTCTAGATGCATATTCTTTATCCCTGTATTAGGAATTTTTAACCTGCAGTCTATGGATGGGAATGAAATTATAAAGGAAATTTCAGTATGTACAGTTTTAGGCAGTAATTTGTAGGTTTCATCAGAATATCAAAGTGTTAGCCCCCAAACTGTTAAAGAGCCTCTGCTTTAACTCATGCTGTTCTAGAGTGCAGTGCTTAAGAGTGTGGCCTTGGAGCCAGAAAGACAAGGGTTCCAGTCTTGTTTCATCACCTGTGAACTGGATGGTTATGACAAATTAGTTAACTTTTGTAAGCTCTCATTTCCTCATTTGTGAAATTAGAATAATATGAAAGCTACTACTATATTAGGTTATGAGGAAACAAAGTGTTTAGCACTGTATTTGATAAAATAATTTACTAAACAGCTATTTTAATTAAATTATTAAAATTTATTTTTGAAAATGAAGTTGAAGGTTATATAAGGTAAAGCATGAAATGTCAAGCTGGAAAACAGTTTGTAACATGTATAATTCTGTTCACATGCTGATGAGTATGAATAGTTTTTACTTGGAAGTAATAAAAATAGAATATTGTACTCTTTATTGTTCATGTTGGTAGAAGAAAGGAGGAGTTGAAAATAAAATATCTAGTTGGATCATAGTCCTTTGTAGTAGCAATTTTTAGCCGTTGTCTCCTCCTACCTCACCTCCACCATCCCTAAATTGTTATGGAAGGCATCAGAAAACATTGTTGCCTAGATTAAGATTGTGTTTCTTGTGGGAGATGATCAGCTATTAATAAAGCACAGTTAATCTACAAAAGGATTCTTAACTTGGGGCCATTGTTCATGGGAGTCCATAAATGGACCTTAGTGCACTAATAAACCCACAACATTTCATAAAAAATGTTATTTATAAGTTTCCTAGAAGAAAAGTGTTAGTCACTTTCATAAGATTATCAATAGATTATCAGTGGTGAAGAAGTATTTTTCTAGTGTACTAACTAGAATATATTTTTAAAAAATAGTTTGTTGATAAGCGTTTAATGTTTATAATCATTACAAAGATTTTAATACTTTATATTTTTCTCATTTAAATGATATATTCATTATAAAAAAAAAAACTTTGGAAAATGCACAGAATCACAGCTAAAAAAAAAACCCCCAAAACCAAAAACATGGCACCTTTTTGTGTATAACCTTGGTGTGACTTTGTGAACAGTATAGTTTAAAATTTTATAAAAATATGGTTTTACTATATATATGTTTTATTATCTTATTTTTCATGTACAGTTAACTGTGATCAGTCTCTCCATGTCATCAAATATTATCTGTCATCATTTTTTTTATTTTTTTCCCCCTTTTTGTCTTTTTTCGTGTCCGGCAACGGATCGCAACCCTCAGTGTCACGTCATTTTTAACTGCTGTGAAGCAGTCATGTAGCTACCATTCCTTTATTTTGTCTGTTAAGGTTAGGGAAGTTAGTTGTATATATTGGTTTAATAGATTTTTTATTGTTTTATTAATATCACCTCAGTGATTGGGAATTGAATAGGAGGAAAACTAATTCAAAGAATGGGGAGGGAAAAGAATGGAATAAATTGAGGAATTTAAATTGGGGAAAGAGCATATAAGGGTTTGAAAAGAATATCGTCCATGACAAAGGCACCAATACAACAGGACATAATCATGTTGGAAGTGTTGCTAGTTTTTATGACTTGCTTTAAGCTCATTACAAAACAGGCTTAGGTTTATATCTTGTAAATTCCATGTTCCTTAGCAGGCATGCAAAGCTCTTTACTATTTCCTAGCTATGTACTTCTTAACTTTATTTCAGGATTTCTTCCCTGTAAGAACTCTGGATGCCAGCCAGGGTGAGGTTCTGTCAGATCTTTGTATTTTTAGACCAAAAATTGTACCTTTTATTCCTGTCATTGGTGCTTAATGTTTGAAACTATTACTTTTATTTTTTCATTCTTTTAATAAACTATTTTTTAGAATAGTTTTAGAACTATTGTTTTTGAGTAGGTTAATGTATGTGCTCTACTCTTTAAGGCCCTGCCTTTTATTTTGGCATGAAGAAATTTGTTTGGCCAGTGGGATATTAATATTGAGCACTATTTAAAGCAGTACTTTTCAGAAATGAGCTCATATATAAAACAATTTTTGCTGAGGTTGAATACTGTGGAGTAGTAGTCTTTTCATGTTTCCATCAGTACCAAGCTAGGGAAAATGATGTTAGACCCATTAGAATATTTGTTGATGGAATTCTAGAACCCTGCTTGGCAATTTCATTTTGACATGTAGGTTCATCATGAATATTTATTTAGCATTAATTTTATTAATTAAATCTACATATTTTATGCTAACCATTTAGAAATTTTATCATTGCATGTTTTTAAATGTAAGCCCATTCTTCTCAGGTGGGCAAGCATTGGGTAATAAAGTCTTATAAGGCTGGAAATTATAGGAGTAGGACTGGGAAGTATATAGGATAACTTCAGATGGTGGAAGGGTGTGTATGATATTGCTATATAAATACAAGTAATATATACAGAGTTTTAAAAGTCAATTGGTATGAAAAAGCCTATAATTAAAAAAATAAGTCCCTTGTTCCCTGTTTCAGATACTGGTTTTGATATTAACCTCTGTATTCCGAAGTACTGTTATTATACTGCTGTTGCTTCATCTATCCATTTTAGGTATAACCTATGAACTTTTTTTTATGATTTCATTCTTTTACCTTCTCCATCCTCTCAATATAGTTTTATCAGTTTTTAGGGTAGTTATAAAAAGTAAAAACATGTCCATTAATGAGCCAGAAAAAGTTCTGGGATTCATTTTATATTTTGTACATTCTCTGTTTCCTGGGATTTACTAACTTGCTTTTCATTTGATTAATTTTCTGTGGTGGATCACTAATTTTTTCCAAACTTTCCAGTCCTTTTTACTACTAATTTTTACATTCTTATACATCATTAGGTGAGCTATTATTTCTCCCCCTCCCCCATTCTCATTTGACTTTTGTCCTTTTGCTCCAGTCTATTGTTTGCTCTCTGCGATTACTAAACAGCTATCTTCCCTTCAGAGCTCATCCTTGAAATTCCTTTTGCTTTTCTCCTGTATTGGATCTCCAGTTTCCTGGATTTCATCTTGTCGTCTTTATTGGTTTACTTTCTTGTTTTGTTAGGAGGACATCTTTTCTGGGAAAGGATATACTGAAGACAAGTGTCTTTTAGGCCTTCAGGTCTTTTAGGCCTATTTTACCCTTATGCTTATTGATAGTTTTTGTTGGATACAGAATTCTAGGTGGAAAATTATTTTTCTCAGAATTTTTGGAGTATCACTCCATTGTATTCTAGGTTCCAGTATTGCTTTGGAGAAGTATTAGCTATTTTTGTTCTTGAGCTTTTCCTTGTTGCTTTTACCATCCTCCCTGATAGGGATCTTTATCCTTCCTCAGCTTCAGAAATTTCATGATGGTATGTATTTTGGTGAGCCTTTCAGTCTGAAACTTTTATTTCATTATTTCCTTACGTCTGTATTTTTACTCTGTCTTCCTGGAACTATTATTAGTCAGATATTGTATCTTCTTGATTGATTATTTACTTTTTCTTTCCATTATCAGTCTGTGTTCTACTTTATGGGAGATTTCATTTTTACCTTTTGGATTTTCTGTTGAATTTTGCAAATTGGTATAATTTTAATTGGCTTTTAAGTTGTAAATAGTTTGTATACAAACAGGTATATAATATATATTTGTATACATTAAAGTGTTCTATTTTGTAATCTGAATTTATATTTTTATAAATATTCCATTCTTGTTTTAGTAATCTAGTATCTTATGTCTCTCATGATATAAATTAACAGTTAAAACCCTTTTATTTCTTCCTGCTTTTTATCTATTTTCTCTGAATTTCTTTTTACTGTTTGTTTTTATCTGCTTTTGGTGGCACAGGTATTTTATGAAAGTTTTGTTATCCTTGGCTGTCCTTTCATGACTAAGAGGAGCACTAAAAAGTATGGGGCTGGTGGATCTGCTTCCAAATTGGCTGACTTTACATGGTTGTCAAGTTAGTACTGGTTGTTAATGGGAGGCCACAGTTCTTCCTCATGTGGACCCCTCGATAGGCTGCTTGAATATTTTTACAACATGATAGCTGGCTTCCCACAGAGTGAGTGATCCAAAAGAGAGTAAGGCAGAAGTGGCACTGTCTTCTATGACCTAGTCTCAGATGTCACACATGTAATTTCTGCTACATTCTTATTCATTAGAAGCGAGTCCTGTCCACGTTCAAGGGGAGGAAAGTTGGGCTTCACTTTTATATGGAAGAGTATCAAAGAATTTGTGACGATAGTTCAAATTCATCACACATGGAGAAATGAAATTATTTCTGCATGGTCATACAGGGGGTTGGTGATCTATTTGGACTACACTGTAGATGTTTTAATTTGTTTTGATAATATTATTAGGTGTGAGTTATAAGTAATAGTTGTTTAACTGTCAATCATCATTGGATACAAATGTTATTAGAACCAGGTACTTGTGTGTGTATTATTTACTTATTGATTCACCAGACCCTTTTAATTATTCCCAATGTGCCAGGTGTTGTGCTTCTAACTGAACATGTCTAAGAGAACTGGATTTGTGTATAATACTTACTGACTCTTTGTTTTCCTGTATATATTTTTTTAGTGGACTTGAAGCATGTATGGGTGTGAGTGTGTATGGGTGTTCCTAAACACTTTTGATCTGCCAAATAGAGTTGAAACACCCCTCCAAAGAAGCCTTTAACAGATTATTAATTTAAAAATGTAGCTGTTTCATTAGTTGACAACAAAATCTCTTATGTTAAGTAATCACCTAGCTTTACTAATAAGGTATTTTATTATAGCCAGTTTCCTAATATTTAATGAACATATATTGAGTACTTAGTATTCGAGAAGCAAAGATACATGCTGTGATTTTTGTTCTTAAATAGTTCCTCGTGTAGAAGAGCAGATAAATACATACAGAAAATGGAGCATGATAGCAGTAAACCTAACATGGCGACGATACTAGCTAAAGTACCAGTTCTTGGTGTGATGCTATCATTATAAGTTATTATGGTGCTACCCCAGTAGGAAGGAGAAAAACAAAAACTGACATCTAGGAAAAAAGTATTTTAGTATTTGCTTACTTTTTTTTTTTTTTATATTACTTATTAGAAAATGTAACTGTTGCCTCTCTAGGAAGCATTCATTTATTGAATTTTTTTTTTCTCTTGTAGGCAATGTCTATGCTGTTTCAAGGAATATAAGCATTTGGAGATTTTTAACCAAGTAGTGTGTGCACTTATTAACTTAGTGATTGCCCAAGTTCAAGTGCTCCGGGACCAGCTTTGTAAACATTGTACTACTGTTAACATAGATTCCACGTGGCAAGATGAGACTAATCAAGCGGAAGAACCACTGAATGTAGATAGAGAATGTAATGAAGGAAGTACAGAAAGACAAAAATCAATAGAAAAAAAATCAAACTCTGCAAGAATTTGTGATCTGACTGAGGAGGAATCTTCAAAGAGTTCTGATCCTTTTGGTTTATGGAGTACAGATGAGAAGGAAAAACTCTTACTATGTGTGGCAAAAATTTTTCAAATTCAGTTTCCCTTATATACTGCTTATAAGCATAATACTCATCCTACTATAGAGGTATGTAAAAATGGGTATTGTGAATTTTTAAGTAATACCAAGTCATAGTTAGCTTGGCAGTCTGTTTCTCACTTATGAATACATATGAAGACAGTTACTTTTGGTGGAAGATTTATAAGTCACTACTGTTACCAAAATTATTGCAGTTTTATCCAGAACACTTCCCTAGCAATTTGTGTTGAAAATTTGCTCAGCATAGTCTTATAAAGCAAAGATTTGTAAATAGAACTCATAAACATCAAACTGTTTGTGATCTAAACATTTTGCTGGTACAGATCTATGCTTATTTTGAGTCCAGAAATAATGGTGAGGAAAAAGAATCACATAGAATTTTAAATTCATCTTAAGAGACATAGGATACAGACTTTGGAATTCCCTTCCATCGAGAAAAATGTTTAACAAATTATCTGTGATTTGTGGTTTTAAATAATACTATTTTCTGTTGTGAGTCAAGATGTTTGACTCTATTAGTGATATTTTTACAGGCATTTCCAAGAGTTTACTAACTTACCTTAGACTTACTCAGATAATAGGAATTCTTTGTAGACATAGTGGGAATTGAGAGAGTTACATGTTAATGTATTAGTGGCTTAACAAACAGTTTATTATTTCTTGTGTTTCTGTGGATTGGTTGGGCATTTCCTTAGCCCACCACTTAATGCAGCTGCATTTATTTTGAGAGTCAGATGGGTTGGAAGGTCCAGGTCTTACTTGTGTGTCTGACAGTTGGTGCTGGCTGTTGTCTGGGATTCCTTATATTTTCTCTACGTGGCTTCTCATTCTCCACTAGGGTAGACCGGTTTCCTTACATGGTAGTCTTAGGAGTGCTGCAGGAAGGTAAAAACAGAAGCTATAAGTTTTCTTAAGGTCCATCCTCTGAAATGGCACAGTACTGATTCTGCCACATTCTTTTGGTTGAAGTAATTCACAAGGACAGTTCATGTTTAAAGGGGTTGTGAAGTAGATTCCATCTCTAAATGTGGGGAGAGGTAAAGTTTCATCTTATATCTTGTACATTCTCTTTCTTGTGCATCCCAGGGTGGGAAGAGTTGTGACCATTAGAGAATCTACCACATGCTTTTTAAAAAACTTAGTGTCTGGTTCTTTTCTCCATATTCTGTAATGTTTGTATCTGACTTCTCTAAACTTCTCTTCCTTCATCTAAAAATAATAGTCCTTTACTGGAATATTTTCACATTGAATTGAGACTATTTAAAAACGTAACCTAGGAGGCAGATATTTTCCCTATTACAATTCTCCATATGAATATTTTAAATCAGATTGTGCTCTGTCTTCTAGAATTCCTAGTCTGTTATTTCCCATATAGAAACTTTTAAAATAATCTCTTACACGATAAAAGATATATTAAACATTCTAAAAAAATGCCATCTTAGAATCTTTTTTCAACAAAAAGGGGATTCATGTGTAAACCTGAAAAATTTAACCTTAAGAACACCATGTAAATTGTGTTTTAATGTCTTAAATTGGTAGTTGAAAGATACTGAAAGTAGTTTGGTTAGGGACCTAGATATGTGAAATTCATGCGGAAATAAATTTTCTTTAGTTAAAAATTTCTTAACAGTATAGAACTATAATACTAAATTTGCTGTTACGTTCCTAAAGTCAATTTGCTCATCTGTGGTTTTTTTTTCTTTCTGACTTTCAAAAATGATAATCTCCAAATGTAGGCATAGTTTACACTCATCTATACTTTCCCTTTTGGAATGAAGTGCCTCATTATTACTGTTCTTGATAATCGTTCCATGTGACTGCTTGGTTGAAAGCAATTATTTCATAAGGTCTTTGATGAAAAATTCTAATGAAAAAACACCCATAGATTAAAGTAAAGGAGGAACCTCCTTATACAGAATTCTATATTAGGTATGTGCTTCTTTGGCTTTCTGTTTGTAATAGTTGCTTCCCAGGTTTCTAATATCTTAGCACTGATCTGTTACAAATACCCTAAAATTCCTAGTTTCTGTCCCAGTGGCCATATGTAATTAAGGGTCAACTGTTTCAAAGGGTCTTAGATCTAAATACATATATATTATAATTATATATACATATTTATAAATATGTGTATATATACACATAAACAGTTAAAGAAAACCAGTACTTAATGTGCATTGCAGTGGAGCTTACTAGAGATTTTTATCTCACTTTTCTTTAAGGAGATAGTCCATCTAGTCTTCCTTTTGTACTGCTGTGCCATCCTTTCCCAATATAGCCTTTGATTTTGATTTTTAGTTTTTTTTTTTAAGAGGCACAACTTGGCCAAAACTCTTTTAGAAGGAAAAGATTCAAAACTCACGTGTATTTTGATAGCTGTGATTTTGGAAATGTGGTCAACACCTTTATTTTATGGAAGAGGGAACTGGCTTACTGAGATTAAAAGATTTGGTTGGGTTTGCATAGCACTTTCTTGAGAAGAATCCAGGTTTTATTATTATACTCCACTATTTCTTGATCATTTCAAACTAATCATTGTGTTATTGCATCCATTGCGAGTACTGAATAAGAGGGGAACTTGGAGCCCTTCCTTATCCACATCCTTACCTCTCCCTTTCCTTCCTACCCTCCCTATAAAAGCTGATAATATTTTTAAAATATCTGGTAAGTGGAAATAAGTAATACTAATTGAGGATAAAAATATTTTTGGAGGGGAGCTAGTTGCATTTTTTGTTTGTTTTGGCAGCCAGCTTGTATGGGATTCAAACCCATGATCTTGGTATTATAAGGCTGTGCTCTAACCAACAGAGCTAACCGGCCAGCCCCTAGTAGCATTCTTTATCCTGAATAATTTTGTGTGATACTATGAGATATGTATTGCTTTAGCGTTGTAAGTTTTTCCTAACTAGAATGAAAGTGAGTATAAAAATTGTAGAAAGGAGAGATATCACTGCATTTCTGTTAAATATTAGATGTCTTCAAAAAGTTCATGAAAGGATTTGTATTATCTTTAAATTCTATTTTTCCACAGATTCTTTTTTTAATACCCTCGTATATGAGTGGTATGATCAGGCAGATTAAATATGTACATTGTTATTTACATATTTCTAAACCTAGTCTGGTGATTCCAACACCAACTGACATTTATTTATTTATTTATTTATTTACAGCAGCTGGCTGGTAAACTGACTTCTTTGTAAGCAGGAATTTTATTTGTAGTCCACTGAGCTTCAGTTCTTCCTGGTTTGATCATGGAGCAGCATTTGCTTAATTACATAAAGAATTACTTATCTGTAGTTAACTCATTTATTTCTCTCATAAAATAGTAAGCAAATTTCTTTTTCTTCTTAAAATAGGATGGCATCATCTCATTTAGTAAATATGAGGTTTTGATTAAAAAAAAGACTCAAAAAACCTTTTGAAATCACTGATGCATTTCTTAAGGCCCTCAGGAATTACCTAAAATTAGAATTTTTGAAAGAAAAATGTTGATTAAGCTTTTAGTGAGACTTCCTACTATTGTTCCTAGTGTTGGTACCTACAGATATGTGTTAACTCTTTAAATACTACTTAAAATGAGAGTATAATAACACTTGAGGATACTATCTTCATGTATCCAGAGTAGAAATATGAACTGGTAAAACAGTTGATCTGAGTGGCCAAAATAGGTGTAACCAAGTCCGAGAGTAACATGTTTCACAACAGTATAGGATTCTATTAGGAGATTTTCTAGCTGCGCTCATGTTAGGCACCAGAAATCTTGACTCTAATCTAATATTCCAGCATGATTCACTTGGTTGTTGATTCTGTATTTAACAATACCACAGGAATTCTTAAATCCTGGACTTTTTGAAGACAATGAAAAGTTTTGTTGAGAATGACATAAAACTCCCTGATAGTGGAAGCTTGGGAGCAAGTTTAGGAGGTGTAGTATACTTACTTTGACAAGTGTTTTCACTGAGGACATTTTTTGTTTATTTTGAAATGCCGTGAGAATTCTGTGATTGCTTTCAGTCAGTTGTTTTCAAACTTTATTTCAGCAGTAGAACTTAAAGATACACAATAGGTAATGGCAGTGTATGGATGGGTTCCTTTGGCAGATTTGAGAAAGTATGTAGTTTTCTGACTATAAAAGCAACATTTTCAGTGTGACAAATTAAAAAAAAATACAGAATATACAAAATACAGACTTTAAAAAGCCTTGAACCTCCTTATTTTCTCCAAAAAAAACCCCCAAAACAAAAGAAGCAAACCATTGTTATCAAATTAGTTCAGATATTTCAAACATTTAAAAAATTATGAACATCAGATCATGGTTATAAATTCTGTTTTTTAAAAAATGTAATAAGAGGTATTATCTTTATTTGCTTGTCCAAACGGATCTACCTTTCTTAGTTTTTGTTTTTGTTGGCTGGCTCATATGGGGGTCCGAACTGTTGACCTTGGTGTTCCCAACACTGTGTGCTAACAGTTGAGCTAACTGGCCAGCCTCCACCTTATTTTTTAATAGCTTTTTAATAACCTTTTAAAGGTATAACGTATATACTATAAAAATCACTTGTTTAAGGTGCACAATTTATTTTTAGTAAATTTTTAGCAAGTTAAGAGTTGTATAACCATCACCACATTCCTATTTTAGAGTATTTCCATCATTCCCCCAAAATCCCTCATGCCATTACACTTTATTTTTAAGCACTGCATAAGACTCTGGATGGTTATGCCACCATTTATTTAGCCATTTTATTGATGGATTTAGTTGTTTCTAATTTTGGAGTTATTTAATTATTTAACTTCAGTGAGCATTGTTATTTCCAGAACTTCTCTGATTCCTTAGGGTAAATACCTAGCAGATGAATTGTTGGGGCAAAGGGAATGTGCATTTAAAGTGTTGATAGATTTTGCTACATTGCCTTCCAAAAAGATCATGTCAGCTTACACACTCACCAGCAATGGATGAGTGTACTTTCAGGCGGTATAAATCTTATGTATGGAAAGCACATTGTGGAACTCTTGAATATACCTCTAGGCAATTCCAGAGTATAGTTTCAAAACCACTTAACTAGTTTATGATGTAGGTTTATAAGCATTACCTCAATTTTTAAGGAGAGTTAAATAGTTTTTGTTTAAGAAGGCAAGATAATGTATAATACATACTATAGAATGATTTCTTTGAAGTAGGGTTAAAATATACCTTAAAGCTGATTCATATTAGCTTCTGTTAGGAATATCACTGTACGTGAGAAGCAGTTGCAAAATCTGTGTTTTTATAAAATCAGTCTTTTAGAAAATTTTATATTTTTAGATTGTCATTTAGTACTTGTGACCTAATTTTATTTACTTTTTTTTTAAAATTAGGATATATCAACTCAAGAAAGTAACATATTAGGGGCATTCTGTGATATGAATGTAAGTGTTTATCTCTTTTCCTTCTAAGGTTTATGGAAAATTTTATGTTTTGGTTTTTTCATGTATATCTTTTGAGTTTATTTTCATGTTTGATCATTTCTTTCCAGTTTTGTTAATAAAATAAAAATTATTCCTGATAAGTTTTAAAAATAATGATATATATTTTTTTGCAGGATGTAGAAGTACCATTACATTTGCTTCGTTATGTATGTTTGTTTTGTGGGAAAAATGGCCTTTCTCTCATGAAGGATTGCTTTGAATATGGAACTCCTGAAACTTTGCCATTTCTTATAGCACATGCATTTATTACAGTTGTATCTAATGTAAGTATTGTTATGTAAGTAATGTAATATATGTCCAGAAAAGGCAGGTTTTGAATGATTTGCATGTGCAATAGGATTTTTTTTCTGGATTGTATTTTGAAAAATTGAGTATAGAAACCTTTTTTAAGGTCTTTATAATTAAATAAGAATTTGAATGAAATTAGTGAATTTTTACCGTTAAAATAGGTAAATGTAGCCATTATTTCTTTTATGTAAAATATAAGATGGGTGACTATGCACAAAACTCTTTTGTTGACTTTTAACTGTTTTTGCCTAGGATTTTGTCCTGGGAAAATTTTGACTGCTTAGGATTTTTGGTTGCTTAAATGATGGTTAGCCTAGGGGTACTACTACAGTGTGCTCAACTTCCCTCTCTATTACAAATGAAGATGTAACATTTCTTTTTGCCTTTGTAAAGAAGTTAATTCTTCTACGTGTTGTGAATATCAGTTACTGTGAAGCATAAGTATGGAAGTAAAGTTAAATAATTTTTATTACCAGTATATTAAAACTCAGCCTTTAATAAACTATTCTGATCATTATCTTAAAAAAAAAATTGGTATAGTGAAAGTTAAATATAACCTGAATTCTAGGGGCCGGCCCATGGCTCACTTGGGAGAGTGTGGTGCTGACAACACTAAGGCCACGGGTTCGGATCCCTATATAGGGAT